GAGACCCCTGGAGTCCTGATCCCCGTAAGTGCTTCTGCTCACCTACAGGGCTTTAAATTGACAGGCACCTGGCAAACTGAATTTAAATTTACAATCATGATCCTGTTATTACAACTTTATGAAGGGTCTGGTTAATGTCTCTGATTTAAAGGCGTAGAACACTATGTAAAAATTATTAATGATCGCTCTGTGTTTTTCATGCAGGCTGAACATGAAAAAGGTCTCCTACACCTATCTCCTACATTAGCTTCTGATAGAAAATAGACAATGAAACTCTAGAATTTGAGAGAGCTACATCACACTGTCACTTAACATTCATGGACTCACCCATCTTGGGTCACGACGAGGAAGGCTGTTGCTAGTTTAGCGTCCAGAAATCATCAGAGAACGTCTCGGCTAGTAGAAGCTAATTGTTCACATTAGCAACTCCACAATACATCAAAACTTCTCCAGGCCTGTGTTTTTTGTGGAGATAAGACATCATTGTTGATGTATATTAATAAATGTTGATGTAAATTGAGTCAGTAGAGTCACATTGTTGTTAACCAATCAGAGGTGAGATGTCACAAGGGACAGAATGGCCAATTTCCATCACTTTTTGCCTCAGCTGCTGTGGTAAAGCAATGGCTTCCGTTTTACCTTTAATCTGATAAAGGACACCTTTCCTCACAGCATAGGTTGCCTCTTCCAAAATGTCTACTTTGCCATGTGTCTGTCCCTCCCCCTCTGTTACTTTATCAAACCATGGTTTTAATGTTGGGTCTGACCTCTGATGTGCAGATATATCAGAGGGAATGTCAAAGTCAAGTGAAGAGCAGGGCTGACTCTGTTCTTCCACGTCTGGTTTGGGTGACGCTAAAAACTTTTCCTTTCTACTTTGAGCTCTAGATTTTGCTGGCTTTACCGAACCCGCTTCCAATTCAACATCATAGAATGGCAAGTCCTGAAGTGGGTTTTGTGCTTTCTGTGCTCTAGTAGTAACCAGACTACACAGAGGAGCAGGAGGTTCCGGATTAGCCATGGAGACTACTTTTTGTAACCCTGCAGCTTCCTGACCATCTGCAAAAGTCAGATCATCAGAATCTACACTGGACACTAAGTCAGGCAGAGTGAGAACATCTAGACCCAAAATGACAGCATAAGGCAGCCTTGGAGCTAATGCCACCGGTAATAAAAATGTTTGACCTCCTATAGTCAAATAAACCTCTGCTACCGGATACTCCATCTCATCACCATGAATGCAACTTATTTTTGTTTTAGCATCACCCCACAACTCTCTTGGCCAAACTGGAAAGGACCACAGACTTAAAGCTTCCTGTGTCTAATAAAGCTACTTCACGCTGACCATTTACTAGCACAGGTACTGTTCGGGCAGGTTCATGAACAAGGGATGGAGAAGTTGTTCTTGGGACTGAACACATAAGGGAGGGATTACTCTGTGTAGTGGCAGGACATGTATACTGTGTATGACCTATCCTATTACATTGAAAACACCTCACATCTTGCTTTGACGATGAAAATTCACGTTTAGCCGGATTTGGTTTAGCTACAGGAAATGATCTGTTACTTGAATAATTCCTAGCCTGAGCTGCACCACGACCCCTTTCACCCCCATCAGACTTACTTCATCCTGCAGAGAAGTTGTCACGCCCAAAGTTGGTTCTTCTGGCACCCGTCCTCGCTGATAGAAAGACCTCAGCCAAACTTGCCACTTTTTCTGCAGACTCTGGGGCTCGTTCTCGGATCTACACTTCCAAGTCAGGATTCACCATCCTCAGAAACTGCTCCATGATCATCAGTTCAGAAATATCCTTCACTGTGGACTGCTCTGGTTTGACCCACTTGTAAAACAAGTCCTTGAGTCGAACATATAGTTCTTTTGGTGTCTCACCCTGATGAATGTCCAGGGATCGAAACCTCCTCCTGTAGGTGTCGGCGGTTATTTCATATTTGGTGAGAATGGCATCTTTAACCTTGTCGTATGTGTAAGAATCAGCAATGTCCATCAGAACGTACGCACTCCGTGCTTTCCCGGTAAGCAGAGGAACCAGTCGGACAGCCCACTCCTCTCGAGGCCAGTGGCACTGAGCCATCCTTTCAAAAGTTGTTAGAAAGTGCTCAATGTAATCATCAGAGGTTAGCGGAAGCAGCTTCGGCTCCCTCTGGGTTGCTGGTGGCTGGAACATCACCTGGCTTGGTCCTTCGTCAGGGTGGTCTCCTTCCTCATCATAGCCATGAAGGTTCTCCTCCATGTTGTCACCATCATGCTGCTGTTCCTCTCTCAAATTCCTCACTTGGGTCTGGAGTTGCTGAAACTGATGTTGCATACTCTTCCATCTTTGGTCCTGGCGTGCTGATTCTTTCTCCATCTCCCAGTCCCGCGTAGTTTGAGACAGCATTAATGATTTGACAAGGTCTGCAAGTTCATCCAATTTAGCATCAGAGCTAGCTGCAGTTTTAGCTCCATCCATCGCTTCTGTACTCTCCTGACTTTCTGTGCCATTCTTATTTTTCTTCCCACCTTTCTTCATCTTTGCCTCATTATTTCTCCAAAGCCCCACTCCTGGCACCACTTGTCAGTTTTGACCGGCGGCGGCACGTGGTTTGAAGGAGAGGCAAACAAATAAATCAGGTTGAGGTGGCTTTATTGCAACATGTTTTGTCACCAACACCAACATTCACTGCCTTTTATAACTAAGTGACTGATTGGAAGAAACCAAGAAGAGGGGTAATCAAAGAAATAATGATTAAATAATATTTACAGAACCCAACCACCAAAATAATAAATGGTACCAAACATTTACATAAATACAAATCATACTAAATAAATCCAAGTTAAATCAAACAACAGAAACTAGGTTTCACATAACTCCTCTAAGAATCACCCCTCCTTATTTAAGCAGTATGATCCAGCAGCTTAAAAGCAGCACCTGGGACACAAACTTCCCTTTGCTGCCCCGCCCTGCTGAGAAGACACTACCAGAAAGGTGAGTGAAACTTTGGAGATTAACTTAAACACAAATTGACATTTAACTAACATTTCCTCTTTTCACAGGAAGGGTGGCCAGTCCCCCTGCTTCTAAAGAATCTGTTACAAATGTCAAACAAAAATAAATAACTTCAATAACGAAACATTTTGTCTATAACTCAATCAGAAACATAACATAAATCATAATGAATGGAACCCCTGGTCTCCATTACACCGATCAATTTGTTTTTCCCTCATTTACCGTCACGGAGAGAACGGCGCACTGGCTCTGGTGGTAATCAAGTTAAATTTGATCTCTTTCCAACAATTTTCACAAGAAACCAAAACAGTCAAAAGCAGGGCTTGTGTTGTGTTGACCGGATAGTTCCCGTATTTGACCGTTTATTTTGACAGAGAAAGAATAGAAAGAATTACCCCGACGCAAGCAGACAAACGGACATTTTATTCGTTATGCACATTGCAGATGTAACTAAAAGATTCCCATCTGAACATCTGAGCTGGACACTGCTCAGCGCAGCTCGCTGTCAGCGCATATGTGCACATCGAGCTGAAGTTGTGGAGATTGGCTTGGAGCGCGTCACAGAACCAGAGCGCATGCGGGAAGCTTCCTCCCACTGACGCAGGGGTCGGCAACCCGCGGCTCTTCCATCCATCTGATGCGGCTCTCTGTGCTTGTAAAATAATGAATGGATATTTAAATAAAATGCTTTATATTTTACTGCATTAATTTTATATCTGTAAGTCAATTCTATGTAAAAATTGTCTGCGTAAACTTGAACAGGCCCAACCCGGTCTTACTGTGAGACCGGGTTGATGGGTCATGCTTGTGCGTAATCATATGCGCTTTCTGAGCTGAAGATATGAGATTCTGGGCTTCTCCTCAGACGGCTCCTGGATGTGTCGCCACGTTGGAGACAGGAACAAGCGCTATTCAGCCAAAGTTTCATAATTAGGGAACATTTTCTAAGTGACAAGTCTCTCTGAAAGACAGGGTTTGGAAAACACTCGCTTCTGTCAGAGGAATCTTCCCGCATGCGCTCTGGCGCTCCAAGGCCCTCTCCACATCTTCAGCTCGCTGTGGACCTTATGCAGTACACGCTGACAGTGAGCTGCGCCGAGCAGTGTCCAGCTCAGATGTTCAGATGGGAATCTGTTCTTGAGTGATTTCGTGTTTCAATTTTTTTAATGAATTCGATTAAAAATAAAGGCGCCCGGCCCGTGTCCGAGGTAATTACACAGTCATTGGCCCGAAGCCCGGCCCGAGGGCCATCGGGCCGGGCCGACCCGAGGGCCTAGGGCTTCAGTGCAGGGCTCTACAAGGGCTTGTTCCGACGCCCACACAGTTTAAAAAAAATGCAAATGATGAATTTAGTCATCATTAGCAGTGAATGGTTGGATTTAAAATGAAGACTTTTCTCGTCAATGGCAGTTAATGAGTTAAATGGGTGAACCACACCTTTAAGTCTTTCTACAACAAACAACCAATAATCCTCCCTCCTTGTCTTGTAGGCTAATCGCTTCCTGGACCGAAATTCCTCGCCTCGTATTCAGGAAAAAACGCACCATCCAACTGCTTTATCTTTCATCACATCTCCCTCTGTCTCTTTCATCACATCTCCCTCTGTCTCTGATACGTGTGTTTGTTCAAATCAGAAATGTCAGCAGAGTCATCCTCATCTGATGAAGCAGGACTCTCCATCCTAATCAGCTGTTGGCTTACACAGGATGGCCTGCATGACATCATCAGGATCTGGCAACCTACCAAATATTTTTAACCATAACATCTTCAGACAATTAAGGAAGGGTGAAACAATTGGGAATACTTTTGTTTTTTTATGTTATTATGTATGATAGCATAAAGGAAAAAGAACTTGGGTCTGGACTACACCTTTAAAGTATATTTAATTTTCTTCACTAGGGTTGGTCTAATACTGGAACCAGTCCAGTGGTTCTACACTGCAGGAAAGCAAATATTCTGGTTCTGTTCTGGTGAAGCTGCTTGGTGCATCTAGACCCAGCCGGACTGAAGACCCCCTTGTGATGTGGGTGTGACCCAGTCCATGTGCTGCCTTTGAAGGGAGCTGCTCCCCTCTCTCCAGAACATAGACTGTAAATACCACAAGAACCAGCGTCTCCTCTCCCGCCTCCAAACCGCACCGACTCTCGTGCACAAGCACGCGCAAACGCAGCGTCGGCTTGTCTCACACGGAGAAAACGCTGTCAGCAGACCCGACCACCATCCCTGGACGCAGACAGACGCGGATCGGACTTTCCGAACGGGTGAGTGCTGTCTGAACCGCAGCCAGCTGTTTGTTTTCTCACCCTGTTGTTCTGAAACGAGCGTGTCAGAACGTGCTACTGTTTCAGACCCCGGAGGTTCGGTCCTTTACGCACAGGAACTAGACGGATGCAGACAGCGGCTGGTTCTGAAGTGCAGGATTTCTGAACCACACTTAGCGTAATCAGAACTTTAGAAATAATCCAAATGGAGGAAACTTAAGATGCGTGGTTTAATTGGTTGAACCAAACAGTTTTTCACCTGGACTGTTATCAGTATTGTGAGTTTTGCGAAAGAAGAAGAAGAAAAAAAAAAGAAATGCGGATTTAATGGATATTTAGAGGTTGCCTAATTTACTTAGTATCAGCTTGTCCCTATAGTTGAAACAAAAAATGGACATTATGATCCAAAACTGGATTTAAAAATGATTAAAATTCTGATTATTTATTCACAAAACCCAAGATGGAGCTTCCCTTTATTTATAATAACCAGCTAATTCTTCATTTTTTCAAAACAAGCTGCTTACACACCACACAATGTTTTTGTTGGAAATATTTGAGGACAGTTGAATAAGCTGATCAGAACATCAGAAATCATTAATCACGTTTCATTTGCTGTGAATGTGTTTGTCAGACCCGTGAGACCTCTGGAGCTCTCGAAATAGTTGTGAATGTTTTTCTGTTGTCAGTAACAAAACACTGAACACTGATCAGGAAATTCAGGCTTTCGTTGGACCTATGGCTACTGCATGTGTGGTGCATGAAACACAACTGGTTTAAAGGTGATCTGCAGAAGTTCCATTCTTATCAGAAACTACTATCTATGTTCTGCATTCTAGAAGACAAGATTAAATATATAATTTAAATTAATGAGCAGGCTCAGCTGAAGCACTCTTGTTTTTATTAATTTGGTGGTAAAACAAAGTTTTGGACCAGTGCACCTCTATCACTGGTTGCATGTGCAGGCTTTAATCATAAACAACTTGTATAACTGCTGCTCACAGAGAACCATGTTGGACCAAGTGACCATTGCTTCTCTTCACTGTTGTTAGTTTGAAGTAAACTATACTATATTAAAAACTGGAATTAAATTATTTGGAAAGGATTTTAAGGCATAAATTTAACGTCACATGTGTTTATGTGTGTTTTAACCATTAGCACAGCATCGCTGCTTCACTAATCCACCCCTGAAAATGATTGGCATAAAATCTTGGTCATGTAGAATGTGATCATCACAAATTAGTATTAACAATAAACTGGATTTTTATCTGTATTCTACCATAAATCTATCCTAGCTGGTGAAAAACTGTAAACGCAGCGTGTTGCAACAAAGTCCCAAATTGACAACATTTACTGTGACTGCTTTTCAACAAAAATGATTTTTTTAATGAATTCATTCCAGAAAATCTGTCAAAGTATAAATTCATCTGTAGAATTATTTCATCCCTGCAGCATTCTGGCTGAATGACTTCTGTGAAAACAAACAAACATGATCTAAAACAATGTGCAGAAGGATTCATGTATGCGTTTTATTTTCAGATCACACAGTGATTCAAAACTAAATAACATAAGTGAGAGTTAGGAGATTAAAACAGGAAATTGGAGCCATGTCTTTTGCCACACCCTCACTGTTTCAATAAAATAAGCAATCCAGCTATTGAAATCTCTCACTTAACCATTTATTATGTGTTCTTGGTAATTTTAATGAAATAATAATGGACAGCTGAGCTACTTTGTAATCTGAAAACAAAAAGCTTTTTTCTACATTTCAAGCAGAAAGAAGTCGCTGACAGGACAATAATCAGGACCTGTACTGTTAATTAGGTCCGAGCAGCGTAAGCGCTGCAAAGGCCTATTGTTTTTCTAATGTTTATTTTTCTTCCGCCAAGTAAATAGGCTTTTTGGAGGCCTTAACATACCATAAAACTCAGGATTTTTGGACACATGTCAGGCGTGGTGTACAATTTTGTATTTTAAAGGTCCCAAAAAAATTGCAAAGAAAATGGCTGATTCGCTATAATGTGAAAAATACCCCCCTTCATAAACCTTAGTTTATCGTACAGTTATGAAATTTTGTACACTTGTAGAACTCAACACTCAACACAGAAAAGCCTCTTGCAACCATGGCCAACATCAAACAGGAAGTCGGCCATTTTGGGTTGAAATGGCAATTTTTTACCCGTTTTGGCCGTTTTTAGGGTCCGCTTCTGATTTTTTTACTCAATCATATTTCGCACGATCGTCTCGAAATTTGTGGGAAATTGCTCAGAAGGGATGGGCGATCAAATAGAAAAAATAAAGCTTACTTTTCATATATGCTGAGGGGGCGGGGCCAGGCCTCGAAGTTCGACTACTCGCAAAAAAGTATAAATGGCTATAACTTCATAATGGAATCGAATAGAGTTACAAAAATTTCTGTGGTAATTTGTCATCCACCCACAAACTAAAATGAATGGTCGGATGATGACATCACACAAGCTCCGCCCCATCAGGACCGAAAAGGTCAAGTTTTACTGTGATAGGTCCCAAATCGCCCCATTTCACGTAATCACCACAAATTTGTAGCTTGTAACTCAAGACAAGTGGGGGTTGCTTGACGTCATTTTATGGGAGTTTTTAAAAGAGGGCAGGGCTGTGGTGGCACGGCGAAATCGGGCATACCGCCATGGCCATACGTTTGCCTCCCATTTCATCATTTCTAAAGATATCGCCACGAAACTTCTGGTGAGTGATTCTAGTCCAGCCCCTCAAAGAATCTGATGTGAAAATCCAGTGAGTGTGTCCTATTTTCTTAAATAGCGTACCCTAGGACCATTAAAACTGTCAACCCCAAACCTTGCTTTGACTGAGGATTACGAAATTTGGTACACTAATGTAGTGTCTCAAGACCCACAAAAAAGTCTCTTGGAGACGAGCGCAAAGTCGCACAGGAGGGTGGCCATTTTGGTCCAAGTACTCAATTTAGTGGTTTTTGCACACGTTGTTTGGAGAATGATGCCCCGTCGCCCTTCTCACCGGTCACCTTCAAACTTCTGCAATATACTCTTAAGGCATAGGGAAAACGGGAATACGTTTGCCTCTCATTTCCTCAGTTATCATGATAGCGCCACGAAATTTCAGGTGAGTGATCCTAGTCTGACCCCCAGTAGAAATGGATAGGAGAAGTTGGTGGGTGTGGCCTATTTTCTGAAATAGCACCCCCTAGGACCATTAAAACTGTCAGTCCAAAGCCGTGCTTTGACAGAGGAACTCTTGAGGAAGCTACTAATCTGAGTATTGTGGTTTTGACATTCGGTGACCTCACCACTCTGACCGCAACCCTCCAGACCACCGTATCTCTCAGATACAAAGAACAGTTGCTACAAGATCTAGCTTCCATCATAACACCTCACATCCACCACATCACATCTCATTATTCTTATCTTGTCATGTATCATTAGTTTAGGAAAAATAATTAAATTCATTTTATAAACTATATACTGGCTCTTTAAACATCGTTTGTACATTCTTGCTGTGTTTGTCTTCTAATTCCATTTTTGGTTCTTTTTTAAACACATAAGATTGTCCTTTACCTTGCTGACGGTTACTGACTCTGTCTGGATTAATACAAAGTGTGTTTATGGTCCCTGAATAAGCAAAGAACCCTAAACACTTCTGATTAAACATTCAAAGATCAATCAGATTGATATTTCATATTTAAATGGAATATCACATCTTATTGGTCATAGTTAATATGTAATAATAGCTACAATGAGTTAGCAAGAAGAAGGTGCTACTTGCACTGTATCAAGTTAATAAGGTCACCAATCAGACATCAACATTTGTGTTCTAAAATGCTGTACCTGTCTTAATGCATTTATTTCTGATTAATACACAACTATGATAGATATGTACATGGCAAGCCTTCCAATATATGTGAATATATAGTCTGGCAATGACCCAGTGATGAATCTCAGTTGTGGGCAGGATCTACTGTTGTCTTTCAGGCTGTCTCTGCATAATTTTGAGCAATGAACAACGTGACATACTCACCACTACAGATGTCAGCCAACGTGACATACTCACCACTACAGATGTCAGCCAACGTGACAATCTGCCATACACCTAGTACCTCTATCTGCTCTTGACTCAATGGTCCAAAGTTGATGCCAAAGCTGTTTTTAATGAGCCGCCATCATCTTTGTTGTTTTGCTCAATCACCGTAACATCCCAACCACCAAACAGATTGTGCACTGTGATTGGCCCACCAAATGGATAGAGCACTGTGATTGGCCCACCAAAACAATAGAGCGCTGCTTTTGGCAAAACATAAGGCTGGTCAGAGCTGCTGAAGCTCCAGTGGAGTCTGGCTAGACCGACGTGCAGACCACTGCTTCTGCAAAGGTCTGTCCAGATTTCTAGGCTAATGATGCAGCTAGAAGAAGTGAAAGCTTTGTTTCTGAAAACTATATAGAACAAGGTTGCTCTTTTTTTCTTTCTTTTTTTACCTGGTTAAGAGCCAGAGCAAGCGAGTGCAACTGTGAAGTGACAATTAAACATCCTTTGCCAGTCACAATGCAACTTGCACATTACCGTGATGTGTTCTTTTACTTTGAACATAGCAACAGGAGTTGTAAATCCTTATTACAGTGAAATCAAATTACAGCTTTCTCAAACTTTGTTATATTACTGCAGCTAAAGTGGTGTAAATGTAGTACCAACTACTTAACCCTTGAACTTTCATGCCAAAAAATATATGCAAATTTCTGAGACACAGGAAGACAGAAGGGCATATTCAGCATGGATATATGTAAAGGAATGTAGAGTTGTTTGTAAATATTTTTAGGCTGTTGTCACTTTACGACGTCCGCCTGATGGCAGAAGCTGGAAGGAGTGATGATGAGGATAAAAGAGGCAATCACAGGATTACAGGCATTGTACTATTGAGAGAGGAGTTTCAGATGAATCAATATCTGATGCGTTTCTGCAGTAAAGTTTTGTGTTTGGTTTTAATATAATTTTAC